AACTGCATACCCCGACGATGGTCACACATAAAAGCTTAATGCCAATCACAAAACCATATAACTGCCTGCACGGTGCCCTGCTGTGCACCCGCCTCTTGCTGGAAGAACAAAAAGATCGAACATATCAAACGCGTGCAGGAAAAGAAGCATACGCGAAGACGGAGACCCTGCCATGTGCTTCTGCCTAGTATGTTGCGGTACAATGACCAGCTTGCCTTGCTTTGCCGAGCGCGAACAAAACTCTGTGACGCATTGAAACGTTGCAGCATCTCGAAACATGAGAACGTTTAACTACTGCCACCAAAGCAGAATCACCCGCTGCAACGACGAGTTCTGCTCCCTTGTCTGTTTGCCATGAGCTACACAATGAACTGCAGCATTCGCGTTCTTCCATGCAAACGCCATGAGCACCTACGAAGTTTGTGTTGGTTGCCTCGTCTGCCCTGGTCCGCCGTTCGCCATTCGCCTTCGTAGAACAACTAAAATACATAACTAAACTGGCCGTCAATACTACTAGAGCGTTTTACACACAAACCCGTGTCGCCCGCGCTGCCAACCTGCCCCCCACATGTCGCACTGCAGACATCCTGGCTCACTAATTTCCTTACGTCGTTTCCAGCTTTATAATATGTCTCACACAACCATATTGCAAAGCCAAAGTACCCGGCCCCAGCAGATAACAAAGCTGAGCACGCATCCTAGCAACTGTCTAGACCTGCGTCATGCATATACCTATCCATCGATGCTCCAGTACAAACACAAACGTATCGGTACCCATAACTGCACCACGAGGATGCACCTGCATCGGCGGGGCACGATTCATAAAGACTGCTCTCGCTGCTCAACGCTCCGCACCCTCGCAGCGGTGACCCCTCACAATTTGCATCTTTTCTGGCTAAAACGACAATCAATCGCGAAGCAAGAGAAGTAATGGGCTCAATGCGCCGGACAGCCCGCGAAACCTGTCTGCAAAACCCATCGATGCTCACACGCCCAGCTTCCTTAGCTCTCCACAAAATAATGCGTATACGCATATATGCGCATAAGGCTTTGGGCGCACGGACCTGACTTCAACACAGGCAAGCGAACCAACCGCAAGCTTTATGCCAGCTGCTACAAAGGGGCAGCTTGCTGCTGGCTGTTTCCCCATAGCTGCTTCTTGTTAGCAGACCAGAGAGAATCGAAAAAGTTCAACGCCCGCTCCAAGCACCAGCTGCAAGCAAATCGAGGGGCTGACGCTTGAGTATAATTGCAGCAGTAGAATGAAATTATCAGTTTGCTGTGACGTGCCGAGCTTGAACGAAGCTGAGTGGCACATTCATAAGCTGCACTTCTGCCGAACACAAAACTGCTTGGCGAGTCTCTAAAAATAAAAAATACAGGCATACACTACGCGCTGCGTCTCGTCTGGCGATA